AATTATATATATATATATACAATATAAAATAAACAGTATATATATTTTATAGGTGTTTATCTTTTTACGTACGTATTTGCTTCCTAATTTTGACGATAAGTTTTTCATCTAGCTTTTGTAGAACTAATTTCAAATTTTTCTTAATTTGTCTATTTTTCTATTAATCTAATTTTTGTTTTGTCATACAGGGATATACGGATTTCATATTCGATCTTTTTTTTTTATCAACTATTTAATTTCTACATGTATTAATTATGTAATAAAATCTACAATTGTGTTCTTTCATATAATAAAAATAAAAGAAATCTATTTGTACTGAAGAAATTATTACATTTGCATTCTATTATAAATAATAAATTTCACGAACATCAAAAATCAAGCAATGTTATTAAACATAATAATGTCCTTACAGTTTACTATATTTGTATATAAGCAGGACCTTTAGATTTTGAAAATTAAAAAAAAAATGAAAACTAAAGTAACGTTGAATTTGTTATATTTTTCAATATTCTAATATTAAAATTAGAAAATAATGATCTTCTACTTTTTTATTTATCAAGTATTTATTAAGATGTAATAATAATCTATACTTTTGTGTAAAATACGAACAGTACTTTAATTGAGTGTTAAACTGTGGATATCTTTTTTTTTCTGCTTTATGAAAAACAAAATAATAATGCAGCTTGATATCATTTTATTAGTTTTCAACATTAAAATTATTCACCGTGCATATTATTTGTAAGTTTTGTACTTACCAAACAAATATATTTAAAATTATTTTCCACAAGAAAACAATAATATTTTGTACTCAATTCGAATTGTCTATTCCAATATCAAAAGTATGTTGTAATATAAGAAGAAATAGAATTTATATGAACTAGTAACAAGATTGTTTGCTTTTAACGACCGTAATGTGTCGTACGAAGATTAGACATAAACAATTCCGAGAATTTTGTAAGACAATTAATTAGAAAATTTTTCCTATTAGGTTGATGATGATAAAAAGTTGGTGTACAAAAATTTTGATGAATAACAAATCGTGAAAACATAAAAGTACGCCTTTAAGAATTACGTTTACAATTGAAACAAGAAAAAAAACCAGTTTAGGTAGAAAAATTAAACAATAAAAAGCTATTCGCAAAAAAAATAAATTAAATAAAAGATGAAATTTAATGAAACAATTAATATAAAAAAAGAAAACAGTAAATGATTTAATTATTTTATCAATATATAATGGCAATAATAATTAATTTTCTTTTTTCTTTTTTATAGAAACGAAATTTTGAATGTGTCACTAAATGCAAATTTTTACAAAACTTTGTTTAATTTACGCGATACAAAAAATGATATACTTAATCGATCCAATAAAAACAAAATACAATAGTATAAATAAAATTACGCTTCATTGTTAATTCTAGTATATTAATTAAATTTATTATTTATATTAATTTAATTAATATAATTTATATTTATTTTATTATTAGGATCATATATTAGATCATTTATTATTATAATTATTTTATTAATATATTTGTATTAATTTATTTATTTATATTAATTCAATTAACTATTTTAATTGAAAATTATTAATTTAAGAGTAAAAGTTACTTATATTTTTAAACATAATTTAATAATAAAACGTGGGATAAATTATTATAGGTATAAAAATAATACAAACGTGATAGTATTCATTTTCTTGTCACAAATAATATATTATTACATAGTTGCTCACACAAACATTCATATAGATATAACTCATTATTTTAACCGTTACATGTATTAATAATATAATTTTTGTTATAAATTATCACAAAAAACTTACACAATTTATGCGAATTTAGTTATACGATAGTATTAATAAAGTTGAAGCTTTATTATTTACGTGCGGCTTGATTCCTATCAAATAGCTATAAAATTCTAAAATAAATATATACAAAATATTTTGTTTATTTTTTATGAAATGAATAAATAAGGCATTTTCTTTTTTTTTTTTTTTCAATAGAAATTTTACGAACCTTTGAGATCTTTAGCTCCAAATGGTCTGTTACTGAAAATATGTGCCAATGGTATCTTAGGAAAAACTTTTTTGAACACTCTTGATTCAATCTCGTAGAAATCTTTATAACGTGCAGTAGGAGTGCATAAAAAACCAATGGAATGTCTCCTTAATAATATTCTATTCCTTAAATCTTGGAGCATCCTAAAAATTTTTTCTTCGGTATTACAATTTTCATTTAACGTTAAATACTGAGTACTCATATTATGGCTAGTTATAAAAATTTGTATGATATTTGTTTTGGAACAATTTGGTGGTGCGTTCCATATACGATTACATGCTTCTGCTGAATCTATCGTAGCACCCCAAATAGGACCAATTGTATACCTATATAAAAAGATGAATTAGAAAAATATTGATGAATATAAATATAATCTATATTTTTACGTATATAAAATAATATAATAATTAATATATTGAATATAAATAAATATATATATATATATTACCAAGTGTTTAAATGTTTTATTATATGTAATAAATGAGATATATTATAATATACGCATAATATAATCATACAAGTCGTATAACTAGAATCGGGAGGATAAGTCATACAATTGTCAATAAATCTGTCGAAATAAGATCTCATTTCCGGAAAATATTCGAAATCTATTTCCATGAAATGACATGTTTCTATACAAAAAAATCCTGGCAGATAAAATCTTTCCCCAAAGCTAAAGGCGTTTAATTTGATTGCAGATGAATGAGGAATTATAATTGTCCAAATTGTATTTTCATCTTCAATAAAATCTCTTTTCAACATTACTGTATAACAATAAGTTGGTCTTAGCTTCGTGTGAAGTCCTTAAAAATATTCAAATCATTTTTACAACACAATATCTTATTATTTAATACTCAATTATAATCTTACTTACTTTTTATTACTCTTGATTTTGAATTCTTATTAGTAAAAGATAAAATTAAAAAAGGTTTTGTGTGGGTAAAATTAAAAACGTTATCCTTTAGAGTAATTCTATTGTTACGAGTTTTTATTACTTGTCCTGTAATTAACTGGGGACCTTTCAATAGATTTTCTTCTTTAATAAGTTTCGACCAAGATCTATCAGTAAAAAAAGAAAAAAACAATTGCAACAATTATTAACATTTAAATATATATTCATCGTATTAAAATACCAATAAATAAAATATAAATGTTATTCAATATAATTATTATATATTATCAAACGAGAGACATTGATATCATAAATGCTTGATTTAAATTACCTGTTAATCGAAGATAATTTTTTCAAATCCCTATCACTTAAATATCTAAAAACTAAACGCATAGCATTATCGTATCTGTTCTCCATTTTTTTCCAACAATATTCAATATGACAGAATGATTTATTTCTTAAATATATATTATATATATGTATATTCACTTTATAAATAAACACACATTCAAATCTTAACAGAATAAGTACAATGACATAATGTTCTCTTCCGAAAAGTGAAACATATACAAATTTTTTAATTTCAACCAAGGTTCCAACGTGAAATTCCAACAGTTTCTTTTACATTTTTTCTGTCATTACACATTCACATTTATCATTGTTGAAATAAGAACTTTTAACTTTGATGCCTAATGAACTTAAATTTTCCAAGTGCTCTACATTTGACTTCAAATTGAATTTTGATTTTATATTTACGAATAATTTCACGAATATCGAAACACGACTGATCTTACAGGATTTAATTTTGTCCGTACAGATTACCATGTTTATTTATTAAAACAACCTTCACATTTCGAAGAACACAAACTAGTAATATTTAGTCTCACATTTTAAAAGATTTCTTAATACTTAAATTACATTTAAGATCAAATTTTATTTCGTGTAAAATGTATTATTTAACAAATCAAAAATATTGTTATCATTGGTAACTGAACAATATGATCTAATAATAAACTTGACTGTTGATTTATGATTTTATATCCGTAAAAAGAGAAAACTTAAAATACAATAAAATCCAAATTTCTAAACACTTGAATGTAACACACATTTAATTATTTTACAAATTATATTTTCAGATAGGATCTTTTTTTATCCTTTAAAAAGTAGACTAAATACAGTACTCTCAGTAGAAAACATACGAAAAGATAAAATAGCACATTGGTCAATTTTTTCGGACGACAAAGGAAGCTGCAAAAATCCCAGGTATAAACGAATCCCGAAAATAAAATATTCAAAATGCAATGTACATTTATGTTTAACGCCAGATGCAAAAATGCTTCATAGAATTTCACGCTTAAGTTTTTCTACGCAGAAGTGAAAACATTATGGTGGTTAATTAACGAATCACGCGTTATTTTTATCAACTAGATCTGCAGCTTTACTTCCGCCGTTTTCCTATAAAGTCTTTTAGCGGTTAGTTAGTGGTCGAAATAAATAAATAATAGACCTCATACAATAAGCTTGAACATCTGTCAACATAATCCCATTAAAACATTATTCGATTTATGTTTCAATTAAAAATTGTTCTCGTTTGAAAATGTCATTTTACGAGTCAAATTTTCATCATTTGCAGGAGCTTTTAATTTTTTACTTAAATATATACAAATTTGCTGCTGAAACTCATCGAATGCTATCAAATGCATATAATGAAATTTATACTAACGAGAAGATGTATAAAATCGGTGTGCAATAAAAATAAATTTTCTAAACCGTATGATATGAAAATATTTCGATCAAAACTCTCAGTAATATGTGTAAATAAAAATTTTGTAAAGCAATTGTTTCAAAAGTAAATTGAACTAGATCAATGTAATATACAGGAAAATTTCACTGATTGGATTGAGAGTTGCTGTTCCACATGTAAAAAGCTTAAACAAATCCTATTTTCTATAATGCAATCAAAGATTTTATACCGCGCCGTGAGCAATCCACTTTGGTTTAAGTAACTATACTAAAAAGCAACGTCATTACAATTGAAAGAAAAGTACTATTTACTTTAGTTCGAAAGAAATGTACCTAAACATTACTAATTTTTCTAGTGATAAGATACGAAAGAGAGGAAATGAAAAGGGGAAAGTAATGAGGAATGTAAAAATATTAAATAAATGTTTAAATAGTGTAAATAGGATTAGAAAGGATGTTAGGCAGAGTAAATACGTGAGATTTGTAATCTTTGGAATACAATAAAAAATACATCACATTACATTACATTACCAATCTTTCTGTAAAAAATTGTACTAATATAAATGACGCGAATAAAAGAAAATAGACAGAAATTTTTCATGAATCATTTACACAATTCTTCTTTTATTCACGTAATAAAACAAAAATATTTTAATTCAGTCTAATAATAATAAAGGATATAGATTAATTACGCTCTTTATGTACAGTAATTAATATTTACATATTAATATTTTTATATACAAATTATACAATTGTTCGAAATTATTTGATAATTAATATCATAAGAAATTACTAATTAAAAATGGAAAGATTTTATTTTTGTAAATCAACGTTTCAATCATGTTGAATATCTCAAATAACTTATTGTCTATAAAATAAAAATAATGATATAACTATCATTATAGAAACAATACAAGTACACGCTCTTAAAATACAATAATACACTCTTATATATCTCACAATCAGTTAATATATTCTTCATATTTATCTATATATATATATATATATATATATATATATATATATATACGTATATAGATAAATACATGTCTTCATTTTTATATTTTATCTTTACGTAAAATATATAATAAAAAAATATTGTTATTATAAATCTCGATCACACAAAGTTCTCTTATTTTATCAAATTACTAATTGTATGTAAGTACCATGATTACTGTATCCAAATAATTATCCTTTGTCCAATGATTTTTTGGCGTCATATTTGAAATAGTTTCTAAAATATCTATTTAAAAATAAATAATATATTTTTATATTATTAATGAAATATATAACAATATACACACACACACACACACTATTAAATAGATATAGATTTGTCTTTTTTTTTTGGAAATTTTACGAACCATTTAAATCTCCAGCGTATCCTGTGATACCACACATATAAAAAACAGGTAGTTTTGGAAATATTTGTTTAAATATAATGGATTCTAAGCAATTGAACTTATGAAAACGAAAATTAGATGTGTAAATGAAACCTATCGAGTGTTGTTTCAATTCAACAACCATTTTGAAATCTGTCAATTTTTTTGTAATTTCTTCGTTGGTAGTACAGTCCTCGTTCAAAGTTAAAATCCATGTTCTCATATTAACACCGCTTATAAAAATGGATGCACAACTCAATCTTCTTCTGCAGAAATGTTCATTATTTTTAACAAGACAAATCGTTAATAAGTCTAGTATCCCACCCCAAACGAAAATTCTATTATCTGGAAAACTACGAAAAAAGTACAGATTCAAAATATTATTTCGCGAATTGAAATGAAAAAAAAAAATGTTATAAAAGAACAAATATATAAGAAAATAAATATATCTCACCAGTCTATGTAATGTTTCAGGAGTGATTTGGCTACGCGAATGCTGTTTCGATCACAAAAAAAAATCAAACAACTTGGCATAGATCTGGTATTTACAAAAAGATTTTCAAATTCTGATTTCCATTCATGAAACTTTTTCAAATTAGGATCAAAGTTTGTATTTATTTCTGGGCAATACAATAAATCGTTCCAAGGTCCAGTAAGAAAAGAACACATAGTGATTTTAATAGAAGATACTTCGGGTAAAAACAAACTACTGATGTAATTATGATGTTTATGGGAATAAAAGTTTCCCAAAAACAACGAGGTACAATTGAATGGCATAAATTGGCAATAGCATTCTTGAAAAAATTAAAATACTTTAAATACAAATATTATCTGCGAATTAATAATGCTTATCATATCAAACTTACTTTCTGTCATAGTGGGAAACAATAAATTTTGAGTGAAATGGATTTGTACGTAAGCTTTTATTCGCAAAAACCTTAAGTGTTTATTTAATGTATCTCGCCAAATTTTGATGCAGCTAGATTGTAACTTATTATGGGGGGGTTTTACAAAGCATATGGGACCTCTAGATATTTTTTCATCTTCCGCAATGTTTAACCAAGATCTATGATCAGAAAAAAGAGACATTATTAATTATTTCTATTTTTTAAATACATTTTTATCGTACTAATGCTATTTTATTGTACAATAAATTATTCATTTTTATTATTAACACACGTTGAATACCATACTAATTGTACATGATTTATCCGTGACATTAACACAAATTTATTATTATGGTGTCACACTTTATATTGAAATATTATTTATAACAGATAAGTAACAGTGTTTAATCGTGTTCACGTAAAGACAAAAGCAAAAAACTACACCCAAAATGTTGTGACGTATTGTAAAGATTGTACGTGTTCACCTGTCCTTTGATTAAGTGTTTTAATACGACACATTGCAAAATGAATGCATAATATTATAAAATACATGTTATATATATATATATATATATATATATAAGTAAATATATTTTTAGATGTTTTCTACTGCATTAATTTATTCACGTTATTGTGATAACGATGATAATATTGAAAAATCTAAAAGCATTGAAATTTATTCAAATTATCTATTTCCAATAACCCTGATTTCACTGGTCACTATGATCCCTATTGCACTCAACGTGTTAAATAAATATAATAAATAATTTTTACAATTTAAATTTATACCAAAAATTAATTATTAACATATTCATAAACAAGACACTTATAAATATTATAAATTATTAATATTAATTTTTACCTGCAAACCAGAGATGCACGATGCAATTCTTTACCATTTAAATAATGAAAAATAATACGCATAGTATCGTAATTTAAATTTTCAACCATATTTTTTCTGTAAATATTAATTCCTTTTAATATTATATTTTTCAATCAGTTTATTATATAGTACAACTTTAAAAATAGCCTATGCTGGGAAGATGTATTTAAATTATTCTGGAAAATAGTTTTAAAAACGAATATGTGTCACGTATGTACAGATATACTTCCCAGTACAATTGTTTAATAGAAATATCTTAAAATTTTATTTTTAATTACGAAAGGGACAATATTTTGAAACATATATTGTTTTAATTATTATACAACAATATGGTTGCTTTTGCAACGTATTACAGAACACACAATTCTAATGGTTAAGATACTATCTTTATTTTTTTTTTTGATGATATTTGGTTCCTTTGTTGAAGAATATTCTATAAACTTAAGAATAGTATTTCATTTACTTGAATACAGTTTTATACAAATTATTCTTATTGATTTTCAAATATTCATTTTATATTCCTCAAACTCACTTTCCCAATAAAATCTGCAAAGTTTTTAAACAAATATCCTAAGTTTATTAGATTTCATAATATATTTTGAATATGTTATTTTTAACCTTGATTTTATTTGTTTCTATAATGTATCAAGAAATTATTTAATTTAAAATAGTTTACCTTTAAACTTGAAAAGTGTCTATCAATTAGACAATTATTTAGATTATGTTTTAATAGAAAAGAAATATTTCACTAAATTACCAAAGCTTTTCAAATCACAGTATTAAATATTAAAAACAGTTATCCAATTATAATATACTTTTGCGTGTTAATATTTATCAAATATCAAAATACAACGATGTTATAAGAACGTTATACTATCCCCTTGAACTATCTTGTTTATAAACAATCATTATCTCGTATTCCAAAAAAAATAAATTCACAAAATTCGCTACACTTTTAGATTTCCTAATAATAAAAAAAGTTTAAAATCAAACTTCACATATATCATGTAAAATGTATTATATTTATGAAACATTATTAATCGTATAAAAATATTATCAATTACTAACTTGATACAGTGTCCTAATAATATACTTAAATGTGTATAGATTGTTCGATAAAAATAAAACTTAAAAAGCAATAATTATCTGAATATTTAGGTTGTTCTTTCAGTATATATTATTTTCAAGATTTATACTTACAAGAGGACGTTAAACTTTGCTTTGGAGTAATGAAATATGTTCATTAAATTCAAACCATCATAAACTAATCCCAATAATAAGTTAAAGCATAAACATAGACAAGAGTTATTCAGATTAAAAACAAGATTAGTTTTTGCCTGTTACTGTAGTATATCATATTAAGCTTATGTCAATAATAAAAATAAATATCATATTAAGCTTATGTCACAATAATATAAACAAAAACTCCAAAATCAAAAGTAATATAACGTTTCTTTTCAAATTTAATTTTTATTTGTATAAAATTTGTATAATAATTTCTTATAAATAACCTACATTTGAGATCGTTTGAAAGAAACGAATTTAAAATAAGATGATGATATATTTTCAAAGAGGTTTACTTTTTAATTAACTTCAATAATAGAAATTTAATATCCATATATAATAAATGCAATGATACAATTGTATTAAAATAATACAAATATAATGTTGTCTTCTTTTATCTTGACTCTACCTCTAAAAAATGTTTGTCATATTAAATAATTTATTAATTATATGTAAGTATCATGAGTTTGGTTTCCATACGTTGGGTCTTTTGCTGACTAAGTTTCAATGTTTCAAGCGTTACTGAAAACATTTCCATACGTTTAATTATAAATAAATAACAAATTTATATGATCAATTAAATACAATATCTAATAATTAATAATTAAGATATGATATTTTGTTATTCTATTGACATGATACTAACCCTTTAAATCTTCTCCAAATGCTGCAGAACCAAGAATATAAAAAAGAGGTGTTTCCGGAAACATTTGTTTAAATACAGTTGATTCTATTAAAAAGAAATTTGGAGCACGACGATAAGTAACGTACATGAAACCCATCGAGTGATTTTTTAATTGTACATTTTTTTTGAAGTCCGCAAATTTCGTTTCGATTTTTTCCTTGTCATTGCAATCTTCGTTTAATGTTAAAATCCATGTTTCCATGTCGGTACCGTTTAGAAAAATACATACAAAATTTGTTTCGCCGCAACATAAACTTAATTCATAATTAAAACAACAGATCCTTACTTCATCTAATATTCCACCCCAAACATTAATTTCAATGTTGGGAAACCTACGGGGGGGGGAGGGGGAACAAAAAAAAGGACAAAATATGAATATTTGCAAATAGAAATGTGGAATATAATTTTGCGGAAAATTCAATTAAATAAAAAAAATAAATAAATAAATATCTCATACCAGGATAAAAAATGTTCTACAAATAATTGTACCAGGTCGCTATTAACGAGCTTAGAAAATAATATCATACACCTTTTCTCGGTATTGTCTGGACTGATAAAATTTACAAAATCTTCTTTCATTTCTTTGGCATTCAAAAATACATAATCGCTGTTATAATTTTGTTCTACGCAAAATATACCCATAGTCCATGGTAACGTAACAAAAGTACGGGTAATAATTTGCATGGATGATATTTCAGGTATAATCATGTTAATAATTCTACTGGTATTGTTTCGCACAAAAAGATTTTTCAAATATAACGAATAACAACTATTTGGCAAATAACTGCAAGGGCATCCTTAAAAATATCAAATTAACTTTAATACCAATAATCTCTATAAAACAATATATACGCGTTATAATATAAAAAAGAAAAAACTTGCCATTTATGTAATGAGAATTAAAAAAATTTTCAATTATTTGAAATTGTATAAAAGGCTTAATTCGTAAATTTCCCAAGGCTTTGCAAGCTCTATTGTGCCCGTTCACCATAGATTCTTTTTCTCCGATGATTGTTGTAATACATATGGGACCTCTTGATGCTATCTCATCTTCCATAACTTTTGACCATAATCTATAATAATAAAATATCATTTTTCAGTATACACATACTGTTTTTGTCTTTTAACAGTTTGAGTGGCAATCAACGCGATTGCACTTTTTTTCTGTTTGATATATAATTGTTTTTACAAAATTATAACATTTTTATAACAGAAAAAACAACTTTAACACGTTTCGAAGTTGAAATTAATTGTACGTACGGATTTTCATAATAACTTGTGATACTCAAACGATTAAATATATTTATCGTATTACATAATGTACAATGAATTATTTATTTTTCTATTATTAATATAAAAAATGTAATAATTAAAACTAAACATTATCCTCTGTTCTTCTAAAATATTTCGTACAAATACCAACAATTCATAATCACACATTCAGTAATTTGTAAAGAAAAGATTTCCAATAAACATAGCAACACATAATAACATAAATAATGAATTAATATCCTAAATTTTGATCCCAAATTTGATTTCAAAACAATGCATAATTTATTACACTCTGATACACGTACACAAAAGGGTTGCCCTTTTTTATTCTCTTTCCAAACATACAAATCTTTCTTTCTACGATTATCATTTCTTTCTTCAATCATTTTATCCCACTCTTACATATATTTTTGAAAACGTACGTGGTTTGTTTTTTGCTTTTCGAAATATTTTTTTGTCTCTTATAACTCATACTATACATACACATACATAAACACTATGGATGCATACAACACCATAAAAGCTTTTCTATTATTTCAATACTTTCTTATTAAAAACTATTCTGATACAAAATAATCAGTGATATATTATAAATTTTGAAAGTAATCGTACCTGCAAACCTTAGAAACAACATCCAACTCTGTTGCATTGAAATATTTAAAAATATTACGCAATATACAATAATTTAAATTTTCGTACATTTTTTTCCAATAACATTCAATTAAATAGAGTAAAAAATATTTGTTCATCAACTAATCAAAATTATATCAATAAAAATATATATAATCTCAAAGTTATATTCAACAATAATCTTCAAAAAATGTTTTTTTGAAATGAATATGAGTTATATATCTTCTCAATATTTGAGATCGTGATTTCCACTAATCTTTTGCTTCTGAATTATAGATTATTATTTGTAAACATATATAGGAGAAGAAAAAAAAAAATATTTTGTGAAAACTGTTATACAATAATAAAAGATTTTTTCTTTAAATTTGAATAATCGTACTTGTATCAACAGCGGAGTCATAACACAGACAGAAATAAAAATTAAGAAAATTAGAAACCATAAGTTAATTCGTCCTTGTGGTCGCAATGTTTTGTCGCATAAAATACAATTATATAAAAATCTAAATATTGTAGGATAATTAGCTCGAAAATTTGTTCAAATAGATCTTAGACATAGTACATGAAAAATCCACAAATTAAATTAAGAATAAATGTTCAATATATTATATTAAATGTTTATATATACAAATCCAATCTTTCAGAATATAATCAAAGACTGTCCGTCATGTCATGTGAAGAAACTTTTACGATCTGAAAAATAATTTATCTACAATAAATGTGGAGAGCATTGTGTGCTGTGATTATGAATTTATTTTGTAATAAATTAATAAATTAGTAATATTTCGATAACACTTTCATCACGTTTATCTAACCAAGTCATTTCATTATCCACGAAAAATGATAATTCTCTTACCTTTGTAGCTATGATACCTGTTCCAAGAATAAACATAAACTGATCATGTCAATTGAGAACTGTGACTTATAATAACACATTTTGTTTATGTTTGTGTCGTTAGAATCGACTCTGAAGTATACGAAAACAATTTATAAATCACTAATTGTAAACTTAACAATAGAAATAGAAAATATACGCTTTCCTTATATTATAGTTTATGGTTCATATATTAGATTTCAATCAAATTAAAAACACTAATACAATGATCATGATTTTTACTTAATATTGTTAGTTTAATATAAACCTCGTATCAATATGGTATGTATGTGAGAAGATATATGAAGATAAAATAAAACAATGATAAAATAAAATAAAAATATGAAGTCTAGGATGTATGCGTTTGTAATCTAATTATATGTGAGTATCATGATAGTTGTATTGCAACCTTCCATTACTGAAAAATCGTCTGGTATTATTTCGCTTATTTCTGAAATAATCATTTAAAAATATCATTTTTTTTTTCTGAGTATTATAAATATAATATTATATTATTTTGTTGCTGTGTGTTGACATGTTACCAACCTAACCAATTTTTTCCTCCAAATGAAGTCTCGCCATAAATTGGAAATAAAATTGTATTTGGAAATATTTCTTTGAATGAGTTTGTCTCCAACATATAAAGATTTTCAATACGTCTCGAAGAAACATACATTAATGCTACAGAATGTAACTTTAACTCTACTTCCTTTTTAAATGTTGTTAATTTATTTATTATAGTTATCTTACTTTTACATGTTTCATCTAAAGTTAAAGTCCAAACTTTCATATCTGGACTACTTATAAACATAAGTACCATCTCCGCTTCAATTTTACAAAAATTTGTATTAAAACAACATTGGCAAACAGTGAGCATATCTATGAACCCTCCCCAAACAGGAATCTCATTTTCTGGAAACCTATAAGTAAAAAGAAAAATTAGAATTATTATTCAAAACAAATATGGGTTATACAGCTATCTATGGAAAATAATATTAAATATTCAATATATTACCAACTACTCAAAGCTTGAAATAATTCTAATACATAATAAATACTAAAATCCCTGCAGAATACAATCATACATTTTTGCATAGGACTATCGTTTATGAAGTAAGGTTCTATTTTAGCTTTAAAATATTTCACCTCTCCTACGTTAGGACTACAATTAAAACGTATCTCTTGGCAAAACAATCCACCTTTTAAAATGAAGGTATATGTTTCTATTTTCAATTTAGATATCATAGGAAAAACAAGACTCATAAGAATATTTTCCTTTTCTAAATTGCCTAACGGAAAATCACATTCAATCTGTAATAAATAGCAAGTAGATGGCAACATATTACAATGACATTCTGAAATAAATAATAATATATTATATTATATACAAAAATATTCTGTAATAATCAATGTACACAGTTATTATATAGTTTTACCATCTGAAAATGCTTTGACATATTTATCGTTAGTGAAAATAATTTGTAACCTAGGCGTAGTTTTGAGATATTGTGTAATAGTTTTTTTTACTAAATACCAGTGTCTACGATTCTTCGTTTTTTTTTTACTTCTTCTCATAAATACAGGAACTTTTAGTTGTTCTTCCATTTGGTTAGCACTTATAAACCATGAGCTATGATTATAAAACAAAATTTCAGTATGTAAGCTATTCTTATTCTGTATATGAATATATTAATCACATAACTCTTAATTTATACAATAAGGACTACTGACGATTAACATTTTCACATAAAAGTTATATATTATATATACAGGGTGTCCAAATGTTAGGGACTAAATTTATATTATATATTACTGAAGTTAAATAGATGAAAACGATTCCTATAAACTTATATCCGAAAATGCTGAGGTATATATATTTATATGTATTAGGTTGTTGCATAATTTCTGTCTAATTTCTTTTCGATAAAGTGCCGAATTTTTTACTTTCCAAAAGTAGAATATGTTTATATTGAAAACAAACAAAGTGTCTGCTAAATTATTTACAATATTGGTCACACATTATATCATTACTGAAATGAAAAAAATTATGCAACGACATACAGTGTGATAAAAAAAAATGTATTCGATGTTTTAATAGCTTATAGTATTTATCAAAAAGAGTAAAAAAAAATGTCTAATATCAACAATAATTTTTATTATTTATATATTTTTTTAATATCGTAAATGAGTCTTTTAGCAACATATTAAAAATATCACAGAGAAATTTGCTTAGAAATACGATAGTTCAAAAGTTGTGTCAAGATAAGTATATCATAATTGTAAAATATATATAATGATACCTAGAAACTTTAGCTACATTTTTAAGTTCATCTTCATTAAAATAACTAAACACTAAACTTAAACTTATATCGTTTATGTTATTCTCCATTTCAATAATATTTTTCGTAAAATATTTTTATCGAAAACATCCTGTTGGAAGAATCGTTTAAAAACGAAGCTTTTTAGTAACGTAAAATAAAATATACAAATCAAAAACGGTCACAGCACGATCCTTTTATTTCCTTTCATTGGTATAAATTGATTTGATTTAATAATCGATTACCCTGATAACATGTAAGAAATATTTAATTACAAGAAAACTTGTGAAATGTAATTGAGTACACAAATCTTATAGATACCAAATAAATAATTACTCATTGCACAAGGTTTTGTTTTTTTTTTGTTTTTTCGAGAATTGTACTTACGAGAAAAAGATATTAGATATTGATGACTATTAATAAGAGATTTTTCTTAAATTAAAACCGTCATACTGTTACCACAACACAAAGTTATAATACTAACACTGACATAAACTTAGCAAATTAGATTAAAGAGTAGTTTCACGATACGGCCGCAGTGTGCCCTACAAAATTCAGTAGTATACAAATTCAAATATCATAGAATGATTGAAGAATTTCTTACCATTTATCAGTTATTATTAACAATTATTCATAAATCAAACAAATTTTATTTGTAATATTACCTTACTCAAAATTTATGTATTATTACAAAGTTTACGTTTAAACTTCTACGATTAAAATAAAAGGAAAAATTAACGAAACATTTTTTAATAATTATTTTAATGCTTTCTTCAAAATATGAGATGCCAAATAAAAATATTTTCACACACACACACACACACACACAATCATCCAGATTATAATGGAATATGATTAATGAATTATTTTTGTTCACTTGTTTGTTAAATTATGCAGTAAATTAAATGTGTTTTAGCAGATTATTCGGTCGTCGATAGAACATTTAAATTAAAAAAACGCTGATACATTCTCTCTCTCTCTTTCTTAAAAAAAAAAACATAATTAAATAAACATTAGATATGTACAAAATAAATACAATATAATAGTAACGATATTATATATAAAAATACGAATATGAATATTTCAATTTTTCTTTATGTTATACTTAAAATTTAATTTGATATTAATTTATATAAGTTTCTTTTTCTTTTACGTTTATTATTAATCAACTGCACCTTAAATATTTTCACAAGATTTGAAACATTTTATTCGGCATCTAATCATATGTGATTATCATGATACTTGTTTGATAAAACATACGCATATTTTTTATGGAATTTTTTTTTTTCTTCAGACCTAGAATTATCATTTAAAAATCTTATTTTACTTTAATATATCACATACTTGAATAAGTTTCTGTAATGTATTGTTGAAATTGAAAACCATATGACAAAAGAATAATCAATCATAATTAATACAAAGTATTTTCCATCGCTACTTGTAATGCAAAAAAAGGTTTCAGTGTTAACAAAAAATTTCCCCAGGAAAACGATAACTTTAAGCTTCATTTTTCTTTTAAAAATTCGAACTTGTTCTATAGAAAAATCGTTTATTTATATTGTACTCGAATGCCATATAGAAAACATTTTCAAACATTTTTTCAATATTTAAACTATAAATGCACATAAAGTATTGGTGATAATAGTATCTAAACAATAAGCGACAGAAACTTTTTTCAAGTATCAAATATATAAATAAAGCATTTCAATTTTCTATTGGTTTTATACTCACGATGATTGTACTGTAAACCTTCTCCCCTTAAAGCTGCCTTACCATACATGTGAAATAAAGTAACACCTGGAAAAATTTCACGAAATATTGAATTTTCTAAAGTATAAAAATGATCTTTTCGATGAACAGCAGTATTTATTAGAGCTACTGTATGCGCATTTAAACTTATTTTCTTTTTTAAATTGATCAATTTTTCTCTGATTATTTCGCGAGTATTGCAAAATTGATCTAAAATTTCAGTCCATACTACAAGTTTAGGATTACTTATTAATATAAGTGTACAGTTGGCAATAACTCGGCAACATGACTTTTTAAAACAATGTTGACAAACCGTGATTGAATTTATAATACCACCCCAAATATTAATATTACTTTTCGGAAACCTGCACAAATAGAAACATTCGAACTATTTCTAAATACGAATGGACTATTTATATATATATATATTATATTGTATATATGGAAAAACAATTTAAATGATATTTAATTAATTACCATTCAGCCAAAGTGACAAGTAAATCAATTAATTGACGGATACTAGACTCACGGGAAAATAAAAGCATACAACTTGGCATATGACTATCGTTTTGAAAATAATTTTGCATGTGAGTCTTGAGAAACTTAATTTTTGCAATATCAGTGCCACAATGAAAACGTATTTCTTGGCAAAACAGTTCCTTATCAATTTTATCATTAATAAATGTATATGTTGCTACTTTTGTTTTATATGTTTTAGGAAAAGTAAGGCTCATCAAAATAGTTTCCATTTTTCTTTCATCCATTCGATAATATTTTCCTATCTCTATTGTGTAACTATCAGACGACAAAAATTCGCAATGGCATCCTGAAAAAAAAAAACAAAAAAAAAAACAAAATCAAATATCGTTGAATGAACGAATTTTCATTTTAAGATTAATTCTTACCATTAACATCGTTCTTATCATTTTTAACATTACTGAAAAATATTTGTAAACAGGGTCTAGCTTCGTGCCACATTATAATCTCTTGTTTTTCACGAAGCCAATTTTTATGATTATCCGATTGCTTTCCGGTATATTTGATATACATAGGACCTCTTAATATATTTTCATTTTTTGCTAAACGCCACCAAATTCTATGATTATGAGGACAAAAATTCAAATGTCGTTTATATAAATTTTATCATTCAAATAGATTTATCTTGCAATAAATATTTAATTTATATAATAAACACATTATCAATAATTATAACATTTTTAACAAAGGAATATATATATTTCATAAATTCTTTGATAAGATGATACCTGCAGACTTTCGAAGCATCATGAAGTTCGTAATCACTCAAATACCTAAATACAATACTAAAAATTATTGCATCTATGGAATTTTCCATTTTTTTTTTTTTTTAAATATTTTATTTAAAAAGTTCTTTTCTCTCTATATAAAACACACTGTTTCAAGAATAATATTACAATGAAATATAACGTGTATAAACAAATTGAACTTTACAATATCAAAGAATAACGACACTTCCATATGACCTGAAGTTAATGTAACAGAAAAACAAACATTATCAGAAATTCGATCTAAGAAAATCAGGGATGTGTGTGAGGAATCTTTTGTTCTTTATTCTTTTCCTAATAAGAGTTTATGGGATAATATTTATGTGTGTATATTTGTATATGTATGAGTAATAGTATACACAATAGAACGTTTTGAGTTGGACAACCGTTAAGATATCAAACACGTTTAGGTAAAAGATAATAAAACTAATCTGGTATAGTTTTTTTCCTAGTTTTAGCAATCTTACATTAGACGGGAAATAAATTTTTGAAGTATCCGTCAGAGTGGGAAGAATGATAACAAAGATAAAAAGAATACACAAGGAAGGAAAGACTTAAATCCTTGGAAAGAGAATAAAAAAATGTATTTCTTACCAAAATATAGTGAAGTAAGGGTAGTTATTAAATAAATTGAAAACATATATTATTTTGACATTGTATATTATGATTCGTAGAATTTTTTTTTTTTTACAAATATTAAAGAAATATTATAGTCCAGTTTTGAAATCCAAAATTTTATAAAAAAGCATCACAAAGTATTTATTTTTTACTGTTACGAACAAATCTTTGAACACGGTAAAGTACAAATTTTGTATATTCCGAATTTTTAAAAGTTTAGAAGTTACTCATCGTAGTTATTTTTTTTTTCCGACAATTATACTTAAGAGAAAAAAATATTAAAAACTAATGATCATTAATAAGAGATTTTTCTTAAATTAAAATCATTATATTGATACCACAGTGCCAAGTTATAACACTAACACCGACATAAACTTAACTAACAGATTATACCAGAAGTATAGTTTGTGAATGCGACCGCAATGTGTCGTACAAAGTTCAATAATATATAAATTCAAATATCGTAGGATTATTGAAGATTTTATTCTCTGTATAAAGTTATTAGTAATATTGAGAATCATAAATTATATAAATTTTATTTATCATTTTATATCACGCACAATTTATTTATTTACTCTTATATATATAATTTGACGAATTTATTTTAAATGTTATAGTTTAAATTTATCTAATATTTTGATTGTTATATTATTTATATTATACTGTTTATTATCATATTAAACCGTAACAGTTTCATAAGACTAATAACATAAATCGTGAAGTATAACCTTCATATCTTAGTTAATTATTATTTTATTTATTTTATATTATTTTATTTAAAATTTGTAAGTATTATTAACAGGATTACCACAAATGTTACGTTTATTTTCTACGATTAAAATAATAAGAAAAATTAACAGGAAACATTTTCTATAATATAATAAATAATAATTTAAATAACTTTTTCTCTCTTCGGAATATATAAAATATCAAAGAAAAATATTTTCAATCATCTTGAATTTTTATAACAGAATAAAATTAAGTCATTCGTTTGTTAAAATTATGTAATAAATTAAATGAGTTTTCACTGATTTTTCGGCAGTTAATATCAATAGAACATTTTAATTAAAGAAATATTAATACATTCTGATATACACACAAAATAAATATAATATATTAATATTGATATAATAAAATATTACAAATATGATAATTTAGATTCTTCTCTATGCTAGTTAAATTATTAATTATTATTAACTCATTCAATTTTATTACCTTTTACGTATATTATAACTCGAATTGAACTATTCATTTAAACATTTAATTGAGCACCTAATTATACGTGATTATCATAATACTTGTTTCTAGATATATACGGTTATTTTCTGGATCACGTACCGGCATGGTATTCCTCATATCTGAAATCATCATTTAAAAACTTGATTCTTCTCATATATTATATACTTGGATAAATTATCAACGTTTATATTCTTAATATTGAAAAGATTTTACTTAAATAAAAAAATTAAATAATATCTAATGTAAAATATTTTCCATTGTTCGTTATAATTAATTACCTTAATTAAAGTAACAGATAATATTAAGTTTACACTTAACGAAAATAAAAAGACGTGCATAACAACTACGGTGTCATTTCATTTTTCTAATATCACAAAACTTTTTTATTTCAACACACAGAAATAAAATACATCTATTTACACATTCGATAAAGAATTAAATAGTAGACACACACGATTAAAAAAACAAAGGTTTTCTATTATTTATTACGTTTAAATTATTCCCTATTCTTTTCGTGAGATGGAATATTTTTGCCATAAATTGTTATAAGTATATGATATCTATTAACGTG